CCCACACTGTTGGCCCATGTTCGTTTTGGCATCAATAATGACTCCAAGATCCTTTTCTGCCTCTGTGCGGACAAGAAAGGAATTCCCCAGCCTGTAGGTATGCTGCTGGTTCTTCCCCCCCGGGTGCAGCACCTTGCACTTGTCAGTGTTGAAACCCATCCTGTTCTCATCCGCCCACCCCTGTCACCTGTCTAGGTCCGAATGCAGCCTATTCCTCCCTTCTAGCGTGCCCACTTTCCCCCACATCTTAGTGTCGTCAGCAAATTTGAACAGAGTGCTTTTTACCCCCTCGTCCAAGTCACTGATGAAGATGTTGAACAGCGCAGGTCTGAGGACCGAGCCCTGGGGGACCCCACTGCCCACATCCCTCCAAGTCGAAAATGACCCATCCACCACCACTCTCTGGGTGCGGCCCTCCAGCCAGTTAGCAACCCATTTGACTGTGTAGGTGAATAGAATAAAATGCAGTTTGGTCATAGGAAAAGTTTAGTGGGCAGGAGGAAAGGGAGAGGGGTAATTAAAAGGGTTTAACATGGCATTGATATAACATAAAAATACTGAACTAGAATACCTCATTAAAAATAGCCAAGTGACAGAGATGGTATCTCTTCCTTACTGTTTATTATTAATACAGGTCAGCATGAATTCAGCAAGGTAACCTCTAGTGTGTGTTCTCCCTATGTACAATACACCAATTATGATGTAGGCTGCAAAAGAAAGGAAGGAAATGTGAATAACTAAAGGTGGCAGACCATACAGAGACCCAACACAGGGACTCCAGCCACGTGACCTTTATTTTCCAGAGGTGAAACACTTGAGCAAGGCTACACAAAGATGTACGTCTCAGCAATCAGTCAGGTATTTCTTCCAACCTGGAGCATCCTGGATAGTCAGATCTCTCATTGCTACTGCTTATATGAACCCTGACACTCCCAACACTTCTGTCTCATTAGCCATTTCTATTGAGGTCCTCCTTATCTCTGCCAGGCACTATGAAAAGCAGGGTCAAGGTTCAGTGAGAAAGACAGGATAAGTATCAGCAGAGTGTGTATGTGACTGGACAACCCATGCCTCATACACAGTGAATAAGGGGTGTGAGGATGGAGTCTATAGGTCCCCAATCTTCAAGAAGGATAACCAAATATGGAGTCTTTCCAAACAAGTAGGAAGCAGGAGACGTTATGAAGGCTCTACAGACCAGTGGTAAGATTTCATGATCAGCAGTATCGAGCTGCTGGCCAAATTAATACCACCATTGCTTGACCAGACCATCACTAGAGATTCATTTTTCTTGCGCAGGTTTGATTTCACCTCTCTCAATTCACGTATCCTGTCTGGAGGGTGTTATTAAAACAAGATTCCCCACTTTAGCAGAGGACAACTACCAGGATAGCTACATCAACGTTTGAGAGGAAGATCATACAAGTACGTAGCTACATGGACCACGGGACATCAAAACATAAGATACTCTGTATGTTCTGACCAGCTCCCATTTTACACCGGTATCCTGGCTCAAGTCACCAGTAACAAGGTGCTTCCGAGAAAGATACAAGACAGCCCAGCACATAGTAGTTATGGAATAATCTGAACGCAAATCTGCTTCCTAACCCTTATTATTTAGAGTTGGGCTCATGTCATGAAAAAGGAGGCTTCGTTCTTCCTTAATTCAGGGACTTTAATTCCTTACTATAGACTCTTGCTATCCGTAGAAAATAGCATTTTTTTATTTTTAAAGGAGGATATCTGTTCCTTGTAGATTCACCAAAGCCATCCAAATGACATGCCCAGAAAGAAGAGATTAAACTGTGGACAGGAGTTTACAAGAATATTATTGCCAACTGTGTCTGAGAGCAGCCTGCCTAAAGCCACCCTGAACTGGTTGAAACTCTTACCTTAATAAAAACCAAAACTTCAATCAAAAACTTTTTCTGCATTTCTTCACATTCTACTGTTTGCTTTTTAACTTTCTAAATAGTCTTTAAAATTATTATCTATTTATAACCCTAACTTTAATTTAATATAAAGGAACAGAAGTACATCATTTGCCACAGCAAGTCAAAGTCTCCTCCTTTGCTCAGGTGTGCCTTTGCTTTGGCAGTTTGTTCCTGGGTAATAAAAGCGGTGTTCTGGTACACCGCTGTTGTGCTGACATGCATCTAGAGTGATGCTATTAGGAGATAACATGCCTCCAACTTTGCTCAGTCTGAAGTAGCTCATTATGGTGTTACCTATCTGTGTAAGCACATGCTACAGGAGGCCCACACTTACATTTCATAGCATCTTCCAGGCTGGAAAAAAACAGGACAGACTGAAACGAAGTTTCTGCAGCTGCTAATGCAGCAAAACTGAATCTTGATAACCATCTCTTCCCCCCTGCCACCCTATGCATCAGGGGTTAATCCTATGTTTCAGATGGGCAAATGGAGGCAGAGAGGGTAAATTGTGTAAGGCAACAGAGAAGTTCGAGTTGGGACTTTGGCACATGGAAGGTTCTTACATATGGAACGTGTTTTCAGTCAGAGCTGGACAAAAGCGCTAAAATCAGGGGCTTAATTGGTTCCCCGCCCTTCCTAGACACAGTGATGTTGAGAACACTTGGATTTCTGAGCCAGGAACCAAATTTCTTCTTTAAAAGCATGAAGCACCAGTGACATCAGGAAGCTAAACCTGATGAACAAGACTTCTGATCAAGACCATCAATTCACTGACACCAACTATAGGCAACAAGTGCCATGTGTGTGTTGGAAACGTTAGAGTCTTCCAACACACACGGCAACCAGAGTCCAACCAGAGTCTTCATTCTGCCTTGACAATCCCTAAATTCTTCTAATCCCTAATTTGATCCCTAAATTAACAGAGGTTTATAGAATCACTGGAATAACGCAAGAAAATTTTGCAGGGGAGTAAGTGGAGGCCAAGACTTGCTTAGGAAACTTGGCCTGCATGATTCAAAACATCACATGCTCTTCTGGTCTGAGACTGGACTCATCTTGCCCACTTTGGAGGGCTTTGCTATGGAGGATGAGTGAGAGACATTGACACTGAAGGGCAGGGGTTGGGTGAACCCTGAGGCCAGAAGTGAGCTGCCCAGCCCCAGGTAGCCACGATGGGCATGTGGCCAGTGGAAGAATGAAAAGAGCCCTTCATGGGAAGCACAAAGGGCAGTCTGTGATGCTATAAACTCTGGAAGCCCAAGCGTGGAGCAGCACGGAGTGCTGCGGTTATGCCGAATGTTAAATAAACTTGTTTACAGAAAGGCAGGAGCTATGTGCACACATATGGAGGCCAGAAGGCTGGCTGTCCCCCCTCCGTGTCTTGGCAGGAAATTTCATTTTCTGATAGGCTGAAATACAGAAAAAGCTGCACCATGCTCTCGAACCTTAAATGAAAAAGAAATAACCCTTCCTATACACTGAGGCAGTACACTCCTGCAAAAGCTGGTTCCCTGAGGCCCTACTAGATACCAGAGAAGAACAAACCCAGGAGATCAAACCAGCAAGAAAAGATGCATTTGCCAAAAACCAAGGACATTCTGCTACAAAGCAATGTACATGCTTCAAGCACTCTTGGCGTCAGGAAGCAAGAGGTATTTGGGAAAAGGCAAAGTATAATTAGGAAGGAATAAATGAGGCAGTGACAGTCAGGTATAAAACAGCTGGAAAATCTGTTGCAGTTGGGCTAGGTCTACAGGAGTTCTGACAGGGTGGGTCTGGGGTATGGCATATCCTGTGTCCATGTTAACTTTTAGCTCACGGAGGGAAGCAGTTTTAAGGTTTCACTAAAAAATAACCAGTAGGCACTTGCAAGGTGGGGTAGATTCCACGCGTAGCTATTCTTTAAGAGAAGCTACTGTTTAGGAGATGAGTTGATTACAAAACTGGAATGCAGTGCTAAATGATGAGCATGCTGCAACTGCAGATTCAGACAGTCTAACTTCAGATGCTGCATGTCTTTGTTATTTAAAATGCCCTCTAGCAGCTAGCATCTCTACATGGAAGTACAAAACGAGTGAGTTACCTGGGCACTTGCCTCTACAGACACTGTGGCATCCTGGTCTAGCAGATTAAACTTCTGGTGCGAACATTCCTGGAAACAAGATGGTCCATCTACTGTACAGCAATCTGCCAGACATTGTCAAGACCTTGCTCCTTGTGCGAGATGCTAATGAATGGTGCTGGACCAAACTGGCGGAGTATGTTGCAAAGGACCATGTCGTCCTCAGTTCACACTGATCATCGAATTCTGCTGAGACCCTACTAGATGGCACATTAATGAGATTCTTGGAAAGGATTTCCCACACAGACGGGGCTTTACAGAGCAGGGAGACAACTTGCTGGGCACTTCTCCTCACACCCTCTTTGCTTTATTTTTGGGCCTGACCAAGCATCTACTGAACCTCAGAGTAAAATGCATTCCCAGCTCCAGCTCTTACATGCAGTTTTAAAGGGGCCTGCATTTCTTAAGAAACAATTTATAGAATCCAGCCATTTCTCCTCACTATTCTTAAGTTCCTCTCTTCATAACTCAAAGTATTGCCATCAACTGCTTGTGTACTTGAGCCATACAATGAAAATACCCAGAAACTGACTAGTCTATTTTGTTTGTCCAAGCTAGGCGAAAACAGTAACAGTGACAGGCATTTAAACTTAATTTTAATTTCAGATTCAGAGCAGGCAACTTTTCCCTTTGGCTGCAAAGCACGCTGCCATCCATGCTTGCTGCAATTCCTATTTGTAAGCTGTGCAGCAGGGTGTGTGTAGCAGTGTTTTTGAAGATACAATGGGTTCCCCACAGCCTACCCTTTTCCTTCCTCGCAGGATCCCCAGTCTCTCTCAGTAGATGAAATCTTGCTTTGACACTAACTACTCTGATTCCAAGCCGACTTGCTGAATTACAAGGGGCACCTACCAAATCTTTGGGGGAAGAATGAAGGGTGGGGAAGGAGAGAAAAGGTTAGTCCCCTGCTCATTCCGACTGTAAATGCAAACAAATGCGCTTACCTGTTAGCACAGCAGGGACCAGGACTCCAGCGAGTGCCAGCAGGACCAGGTGAGGAACTCTGTGGTGGGGCATCGCTTCTTCCAGGAACAACGCGCTGGAAGGAATTCTTCAACTTTTCAAAGTATTGAAATGCTTGGAAACTTCACGAGCATAAAAACAACTTTGCCCAGTCAGGCCACAAATCCCTTCACATCAGGATGCAGACAGACAGTCTCTGCAAACTCCTGCAGAGACTGACACACTGACTGGTTGAGCAGACCTCTCTCCTGAAGACCGCGGCTCCACCCTCTAAAAACCATGCCGAAAAAATCCCCCCTCCCCTCCATGCACAGCTGGACTGTTGGAAATCAGTTATCCTTGCCAGACTGGTGTACACACACACACACACAAAATCTTTTAAGGTTCAAAATGCTTCGAAGCAGAATTAAAGCAAGTCCTTGCCATTTGTTTGCTGGACCTAATACTCAAGAGATTGAGGAGCAGTGCATTGTCTTATCAGTCAAACTCTACTAAAATCTGATGTTGCTGGGGAGACTTAACATCACAGCCCCACAAATCCTCTCCCTCCTACCCTGATTTAGACTGAATGACTTATTTTCCATGTGTTCCTCTATCAGTCTCTTTTCTCTCAAATGTGCTTGAGGAAGATAATCATTAGTAAAGAAAATACAGATTTTTGACTGAGACCCATGCAAGCACTGCAATTATGAGTTCCTGAGAATGAATCCTACAAAAAAGGAGACTGTTCTAGCTAACAGGTGGAGGCAACAATTTCATCAGACTTTCTTGCAGTAGATCCATAATATACATGTTTAACTGGCATGAAGATTAAAGTTAAGCTACAGGGAAACGACTGACTTCTCTCCAGAAAAGGTATCCATACGATTTGAATCTTTGAGTATCCTTATACTCAGTTCTCAGCAAAATGGCATTATTTTAAATTTCATCTGCAAACTTTTTTTCCAGGATCTCTTTGTGAGGCAGAGAAGACTCAAAGCTGACACCACAGGGAAGTGGGAAATTAAGAAACAACTCGTTTCAGAACTCCCTACTGGACATAAGATCTCAGATACCTCTCCTGAAGTCATCGTCACTCAACTGGTAACTTAAAAGGCACACCAAACCTCTAGCTCCTTGCCTTGCCTAAACCCTAAACTAGAACCCAAGTTAGCCACATACAAGCTACACCCTACCCCAAAATGACAGCTCCAGCTCCTAGTTTCTACCACACGTGTTAACCCAGGTGATCCTGACCATTCTTGAGGCTCATGCCAGTTTTCTAAACAATAGGCAAGGAAACAGTGAGGCTGCCTGGAATCATTTACTATGTCTCAGCCCCATCCTGAAAAGGGTGTGTGAAGGATGCCAGAATATTTAAATTCCAGAGACAGTACACTAAACCTATTCCCATCATCTCCATCACTTTAAATTCCCAGGAACCTTTCCAGATTTCTGCCTCTCTCATTCAACAATCTCTGATCCCTACTCCTCTGCCCCAGCTGAAATTGAGATTACCACGGTCATGTTTCCTTGTGTTCCATTATGAACCAGTTCCAGCATGAGCACCTAATTCATAACAGTTATGGCACCCATTGATAGATCACATGCCCAGTGACTCTCTTGCAATATTTAAGAAATATTTATAGAAGCAGACCGTTAGAACACGCTTCAACTATGAAACAACTTTAAATCTGATTTAAAGTTAAGTTTAACCATGTCTGTAGGAAACGAGCACAGCTAGGCAAACAGGAAATTAAACTGCTATGCTAGCTTGCAAAGTTAAAAAATTAAACTGACTTGCTATTTACACATGAATGATACAACACTAATTACCTCTTCACTACATGTCCTCAAATTTGCAGGATTTTGCACAGGAAAAACACAAGCAACAAATGACAGCTAGTGCTTGTTTTGAGAGAAACAAGTATGATTTTATCTAAAGATGGGAAATATACAAAGAGCCCTTGGGGAACACACTGCCCTGCTGAAGCACTGACTGTCAGGACATGCCTCTCCCTTATTTAGTGAGGGTAACTGGAGTGCTTTCTGGTTTATTTATACATCAAGTCCTTTTTTGTGTGTGCACAATTCATAACAGAAAACTAACTAGTGCTTGATCTTTCCTGCATAAACAAGGCAAGCGTGTGAATGCATGTGTCTGTGCATAGGAAGGAAGGAGATTGGAAAATTCTGACAAGAAATCTTCAATCTCAACTTACTGCTGTTTATTTTGAGTTCTAAAATGATCAAGTAGAAAAACCACCAGCATTCCTCTGGAGGGAAGAAATAAAGCAGTGGTTGTTGCTCCGTGTCCTGTGTGTTTGCTTGTTGTTGCCTGACGAAAAGTAACGAGAGTCAAGTTTCAGGTCTGCTTTAGCACCAGAAATGATCTCAAAACTCGGCTTTGACAAAAGCAAACAGAAAATGCGCTCTCAGATATAATACAACCAGGTTTTATTTAAGTTCTCTCTTTTTTCCCCCCACACTGGCAAAAGTTCAGAGGGAGTTTAAAGTTTTGTAAACATTTTAACTACCCCTCTTCCCCCCTTTATGAATTTACAAAGCAAAGGAGACAGGGAGACCAGATTTGCAACAGTTCCAAGTCTCTCCATGCTACTGGATCCAAAAACTATATACAAGTCTGCAGCAGTCTCTGTATAGTTACTGTACATGTCTGGGGGAGAGGGGGAAGAGAGAGGAGGAGGGGAGGGTGACCCCAAAAAACGAATAAACCAAACGAAATAAAATCCAAAGCCAAACTGCTCTTGAGCAACTCGAGTGGCTTTCTTCAGGCAGTGATGACAGAAGGGCAGCACCCTTCATACAGCTCCACCAAAACTGCAGCATTTCTCCTACAGGCATACTGCAGCCCTCCAGGAATAGAAGCTGGGACCAGGGGATGTATGTTGAAGCTAAGTGCATTTGGCAAGTTCTGACTGATGTTGATGTTTCTCATTTTTTCTTAATTTAAATCTCTTTTGGAGAAGGAGTTATGTTCCATAAATATTCATAAATGGGACCTGAAATGAAGGGATGGATATTAAGTAAGAAGGTGTGGTAGGTAATCAGGGTTACCACTGCACACCTCACTTTCCTTTTTCCTCGGTTCCCAGGAATTCAGACGCTGTCAAAAGTCAGGTCTCTGCCTCTTAGCTTGAATGCTGCTGTAATGAAATGCTGAATCACTGCCATATGTAGTCAGCTGAGACTGTTAGGGATACAGATGTGGAAACCAGTATCTACCCCCATGCAAAAGATACATATGGGAAAGATCCTAGCTATCTCTGAAACGAGACAAATTCATGGCAGAAGAGCCCCAGATAAACTGGTCTTATCCCTCTGAAGGTACTACTGAAGGGAGTAAATTCAACCTGAAAGAAAAGAGATCGAGACTTCCCCTTCCCCAGATTAAGAGTCCTCGTTTGTCCAGGAAGGCTGGAGTGTGCTGGAGGGAGCACTCCAGTAGCTTTGACATCACCACCTACTGAAGACAGACTCGAGCTTTCCCTCCAAAAGTAATGTGCTGAGAAGGGCTGGCAGGGGGTGTGCAACTTCAAACCAATCCAAGCTAAATTCTGCCCACCACCACCCTCTCCTGCTGTTGCCAGTTCTCAAGTTAGCTTATGAATGCAACTCCTGGATGTGGAGAGCACCGCTTGCCCTGATGGAGCACTGAAGTCAGTATGTGTGTGGCATTTTGGTTTTGACTGACATCTGTTAACCACAAACTCTCTCCATGATTGCACAAGTTGGATGTGGTACGAATAACCAGGAGAGGGAAGCTACCGTTTGCAGAATCCCAAATGATTTTCCAGAGAAGTCAACAGAAGAAATCACAGCACAGTGAAAGCTTGTGGGTCACAAGCAGCCTTGTTGTGAATGAATACTATCTCCCACCCATTTAGGAGACAGAACAAAGTTGTCCTTAGGCTGACAGCAACGCCAATGACTGTGCAGTCCTGGGCGGAAAGGGTTTGTTGGGACTGGAAAAAGCAGCCTGAGATGATTGATTCTGTGATTCACTGCAAGGCAAAGAAGAATGCAAAGTGGAGAAAGAACTGCAGCCAAAGATGGAGAATCCATGGTTAACAGATGCAGGAAAAGCCGGTCGATCTGCACATGCTCAGTAGTCTTCCAAAGTCTCTATTTCTCCCATGTTGAGCCGCTCTGATGAGGCATTCACTGAAAACCCTGTAAATCAAGAGAGAACCAGTGTGGCATTATCTCTAATATAGTATATGCAGCAGCTGATTAAGACAGGAAATTAATAATACACATACAATTAAAACTGTAGGGGGAATTTACTAAAATAGAATATCACTACCCAAATTGGAATATGATAAGGAAACACAAGCTATTACTTAGTACCAGAAGATTTTCAGTGATGAATCATCAGAAGTTAGGCTTTAAATTTCATTCAAAAGATGGCACTTGCATAATCACTGTGTCTTAGCACCAAGTTGGGGAAGTGACTGAGCACTCTCTCTCAGAAGGAATAATGCGTAAACATCAAATAATCAGTAGTTGCTCATCACTGTGGTCACCCTGCTGGGGTCACCGGACCCCACTTGTCTATCCTGCCTGGTGCAGGGGGCTGGACCCGATGGTCTTCTGAGGTCCCTTCTGGACTTACAATCTATGAATCACTGTAGTGAGTGGTGAAGGGAACAGATGGCTGGTGCATGGGTCCAGCACCATTCACACACATCCCTCAACAGCATTTAAAGAGGGAATGAATTCAGTCCAAAGTGACAAAATTCACTTTTACAGCTAAGAGTCTAATGGAAACAACATGCAGATTTACTGGCAAGAGCTCCCAAAATATTTGCGCTATTTCCATTTCTATTCAACCACTACTGTTTCTCAGAGGGTACGGACACATGTCTATTTGGAGCCATTTCAAAGGGCAGCAGCCATTATGTTTTTAATTGTTAGTTGTGGACAATCTGGGAATTAGAAAAAAGTAGCAATACTGCTCCAACTTTAACCTTAAATGAAGCAGTGTTAAAGTTGGAGCAGTTTGCTACATTTGCCTTTGAGTGATGCACCTGCATACAAGTGACATGTTTTATCTTCTTGAAATTGCATGTGCATGAAAAGCAGGAGTCAGCAATCTATAGCCCAGGGTCTGGATACAGCCCACTGAACCTTTTGATCTGCCTCTTGATCTGGCCTTTGGCAGCAACCATCAGCAGAGGGCTCTAACAGAGGGGAACTTGTTCCCTGCCTCACCAGCTAGGTGGCATGAGTTCTGGTAGAGGGGGTCTTTCCACATGCCATGCCACAATTAAGGCACCAGGGGGGCGGGGGAGAATGGCAGCAGACAGATCCTACGAGGTAGCTTACTAGCAAACATTCACTGAGTTAGGCTGCCAAACTCCTATACAGCTTTTTAAATAGACAGTCCTCAGACTTACGACACAATTGGTTCCTGAAAACCACGACCTTGTAACTCAGAACCAATTTTCTCATAAGAAACGTTATAAATGGGGGATTGGTTCCTGAACCAAGGCCTTGGATACCTTATTTTCAACAAAAATACCCCAGAATTTTGTACTCGATCAATTACAGATGAGTAATATAGCTGCATTAATGTACAGTAAAAGTTCTGTTATCCAGCATCTTACAAGCCAGCATGCTCCACTAACCGGCATGCCCGCTTGTAGGATAAAAGTGAAACTGGAAGTACCCACCATGGCACTTCCGGTTGCTCCAAGCCCCCATGGCCCGGGGGCATAACAGGCTGTGTGGGGCTGTGTGGGACCTGCCTCCCTGTTGGTGGCGATGCCACAGGACAGGCAGAGGGATGCCCCAGACGTGGTGGGAGAAGCGGCAGCCAAGGCCATTCAATTAACTGGCATATTTTGTTATCTGGCATCCCCCGTTCCCAGGGGATGCTGGATAACAGAGCTTTTACTGTATTTATATCGTAAATAGCACTCATATTGATCTGGAAGGACTTCTTTGAGGTGACTGCTGGACTTTCTGAAGGGTTCTTGGTTGGACTTTTTGAAGGGTTCCTGGCTGGAGTCTTCTCAGGAGTTTTGGCTGCAAGTTTTTCTGGACACTTAGAGTGTCCAAGCAAGTTTGGATGGGAGATGAGCAACACAGCGAACTTGTTCGCTGGCGTGGTGTCGCATCAGATCAAGCATTGTAAGTCGAAACTGACGTCATAAAGTTAAAACAGGATGTCAATTTATAAATGTTGTAAGTGCAAAATGTTGTAACTTGAAACACTAAGTCGAGGACTGCCTGTACATATTTTTATTTATTATACATATTTCCCCTATTTTTAGTCACAAAAATAGGCCATTCAGAAGACAGTGGTCTACTGGCTAAAAATGAGTCAAACGGGGAAGCAGGGAACTTTTACTCCACAATTCAAACTTTTCCCTTATAAAGAACTCAAATAAGGGAACAAACTGGTAGGGAACTGGGCATGTAATGGAGATCTCATCATCACAAGTATCAACCACCAACTCATTAGGTATGACAGTACTTGTACAAAAAACACGTAGGACATTCAGTAAGTGTGTGCATAGTACAGTGTACAAGCTGTGAAGGGGAAAGTTAGTGAAGGGTGCAAAGACCATGCCACAGAAAGCATAAAAAGTGTGAAAAAGTTCAGAGCAGGTTTTTCCAGCTTCACTATAGAAAATGCAAGTTATTACAGGACAAAGTAAAGAGCAACTCAAGCACAGGAAAAAAAGGAAGCCACTTCAGATAATGGAGACAGAAGGAGATGAAATTCAAGATACTAGCAAGATTTTTGTGCCTTAGAAATTTTAGTGGAGTGATTTTAATAGTCATGAAGAAATTATGAGAACAGGAGTAGAATGAGCTTTACTCAAAAAGATGAAAGACTTAGGAAAGAGATGGTCCATGAATTCTGTGTACAAGTCACCTCTGCTGATGAAGAATAAATATCATTCCAAATTTACAAAGAGGAACTAAGGCAGGAAGATTAAATCATTTAGGCCAGAACAGAACAGTGTCAGACCAATGCCAAATCCTGCACTTCCAATGTATATGATCCAAACTGGTAATCAGCCTGGTTATGTCTGCCCCCTCAAGAGTTTTATTTGTCCATTCTGACTAGAACATTTGATTTCATGCAAACACCAACATCATCGATCATTTGCATTTGCTCTAAGCACAAAATTATAAAAAGGTTTTTAAAATAAGTATTTAAGATATGACTTGTATATTGCAGTCAAGTAATTAACAGCTACGTAGAACTAAATGGGCACTAACCAACTACCCAACTTCAAGTTAGCTCAGCTTTCTGAACCATATGTAATAT